AACGAGTGCATAATACACCAAAAAGGTCATATAAGAACATTTTCGATTTTTAGTAGATGTGTTTGCAAATTTGAGGTTAAGTGCAAAAGAAGTTATTTGAATTAAATTGAAAAACTGTAAGCATTTGAGAGTACCAAAGCAAAACGGGACTGAAAATATAACCAAAACCATCGAAGGTCAACTTTGCCTTTGAAAGTTCAAACCTTAGTTCTTGTACATGTGCAAACTATACAGGTTAGTACCGAATGAATTAACTAGGGTATATGAATGTTGTCACCGGGAATATTACCACCAGACAGTAAGACCAATTGAATGTCAAAGGGACATCACTTTGGCTTTGTTTAATGTATAGATACACCGCCACGTCCGGTCGGAATTTGGACATCAAATCCATTGATCCATGTTAGGACATTTCCACGTTCTCTGCATGTTAATGAAGCCTGCAACAACTATTTTAGGAGTCAGTAGTCACCCTTTGTTAAGTCTAGGTATCTGCTCCTATACAACACACCCTAATGTTCCATTTACAGTCCAGGTTTCCCACCCTACTTCTCTGCTAGTTCGACCCAATTTGAACAACCTTACTATTGTACTAATTGTTGATGTTTCTCCTTCTGAATGTGCACGAGTATTTGACACTGGGCGTTAAGCATTCATTAATCAATCAATCAATCAGTTTACAATAAAAAAATCTAAATTTGAAAGTTAGCATCGATACATTTATATTATTTTAAATAATTTGCCTTTTCCTCTGGGAAATAAGGCGCAAAATGAAGAACTATTAGTTTCAGGAAAAAAAGGAATGCAATTCAAGTTATTATACGCTGACGATATGTGTAAAATCAATATCAACTAGCAATTGACAACATTTTATTCGTTAATTTACATATTATGTAATGCTTATAAAACTTTGACTTACGTAGAATTATATGTGCTAGCTCATTTGGAGATGGAGATGGCATAGGCATAGTACTTCGAGTAATCTTAAATCGCTACTTGGTGTCTGTTATTATTTTTGTTAGATGTTATTTTACTAAGTACCAACCTGATGAATCAAGCCCGTTTCAAAAAAGAGGGACGAAAGATACCAGAGGGACAGTCAAACTCATAGATCGAAAACAAACTGACAACGCCATGGCAAAAAATTAAAAGACAAACAGACAAATAATAGTACAGATGACACAACATAGAAAACTTAAGACTAAGCAATACGAACCCCACCAAAAAAATGGGGATGATCTCAGGTGCTCCGGAAGGTTAAGCAGATCCTGCTCCACATGTGGCACCCGTCGTGTTGCTTATGTTATTACAAATCCGGTAAATAGTCTAATTCGGTAGGTCACATTCGTGAAAAGGGAAGGATATTGTAGTTATGACATAAGGAACATATCCGATATCATCTGTGAAACGGTTATTCCATAACGGTTAACCAACTCGTGATGGCGTCCGTAAAATTTACGAAGGGATGATTTCAACTTCACCATTTGGAACTCTTGGTTTAATAGCTTCCTTGTGAGTAGAAATCCTCTATCAAGGAAATTATGATAGGAAATACAAGCCCGGAAATATCGTATCAATTGGGAGATATATACTCCGTATGCAGGCGCTGCTGGAATGTTGCTACATAGAAATGGAAAGTTCACAATTGGGAAGCTGAAATCATCTCTTTTGTCGTAAAGGTCTGTTTTCAACCGACCTTCATTGTCCGTTTCTAGATGTAAGTCAAGATATGAGGCAGACTTAACTGTATCTGTAGTATCCTTTATCTCTAGTTCGATGGGATAGATTCGTTAAACATAGTCAACAAATTTTGTATTATTTAGTGAGAGAACATCATCTATATAGCGGAACGTAAAGTTAAAGGATATTGCTAACTTCCTATTCAACTAATGTTTACAGTTTGGTATTAAGTTGTGCAGTGACACCACTGTCCAATATTAGTGGAGGACTGAACACTCAAACATTGTTTAGCCCCGCCACATTCTTTATGTACTGGTCACAAATTAAGAGCATTTAATCTAGAGAAGGTTTTTCATTGTTTGCAGTCTTATCATATTAATCGTTTTCCGTTTATTGTTTTTAGCATAAATTTGTCCGTCAGTGTTATATTTTTGAATTGAATCATACTTTGAAAGCTGAGGTCTTTTATAGCTGACTGTACGTTATGGATTTTGCTAATTGTTTAAGTCCGTCCATGACCTGTAGTCATTCTTGTCCGTTGGTCTCTTTTGGATAATCGTCTCATTGGCAATCATAGCACATCTCCCTATTTCTATAAAGAGGCCATTCTGTATGAACAACGAACTATTTCATATCTTCTTTTAGACTATTGTATTCCGGACTAGACAGTTAACTAATTAGGCTCGAGTGCAATTTTTATTAAAGAAGGCTGTGAACTAGTTTTTTTTTTATCATTGTTATCTAGGCATATAAATAAGGTATACGATCATTTATAAATATATGCTAACATCAATAAAAAAAAGGTTCATACGTGTAATAATCTGAAGGTAACCATGATTATATTTTTGCATTTAGAAAAACTTGTCAGGCGACCGATTCTGATTTTGGAAAGATTTTAATATTTTCTCTTTATTTTCACTGAATCAATTATTTTTTATCTCATTTTGTAGACCACCCTACTAATGTCACTATTCAGATCAAGTTAACTAATTTACATTCAGTCAGTGAGATTTCAATGGTGAGTAAATATTATATATAAGCAACCTATATGACTTGTGATAGAGCAAAATCTTAACCAACACACTTTTCTATTATGAAAGAACAGAACAAATATTATAATAGATAACAAAGAAACATTCACTAAAGAGACAGTATTAGTTTCCATTTTTATAAAAATGTTTTTGAAAATCGTAAAATTTGTCATTTATAGGAAACAAATAATTGAACTTTCAGTCTGTAGCAATAACTTTTCGGGCGAATAGGGGCTTTTAATGTGTTCACAAGAGGACATGTTTCCTTGATATGCAACTAACTACCACCTTTAAAAGCATGTTAACTTGACCCCACTTGTCTGTAATTATTTAGAGGTGTGATAACTTAAATTTAAGAGTTTCCCCTTGCAAAACAGGACTTTTACGTTGCTTAAATGAGATTTTCGTCTGTAATTTGTAAGTACTGTAATAGATTGGATAGAAATCGGCCAAAGTTAAAGGATGTACGGAAATTGGGATGTATAATGGATTTCTTATTATTTGTTTATAATTTTTATTGATTTTACTTTAAATTTGCTGTCAGATACCACTCTATTGCATCACAAACTTGCTTCTAAGTACAATATATGCAACTTTATAAATGCACTTTGGTATTTAATCATCTGAAACCAATTGCATTGACACGACACGCTATTCATCAATGCTGGAGACAATTTTTTTGGGAAGATATATTAATAAAATAATCAAGAGCATCAAAACCTTTCAGTGTATTAAAGGATATCCGAAAGTGTCTTAAGTTGACTTTTCCTATTGAACTTACAAATCTATCACTTATTTTCTATTAGTTTTAGTACATTTGTTCTACTAAGTACAATTTAACAACTGAAAAATAACATTCATCAAAAGTACATGGTATGTGTTGCTAGGATAGAAAGAAGAAAATCCATGGTCAGCTTACAACCGTAATATTTTTACATACAATATTTAGCATGTTGTTTGACAGAAGTAGGAATAGACAATACTATACATGTAACCAGTCAATAACACAAAGGAAAATTAAATGTTTATTATAACCATAATTATACAGCTTAATATGTAAATGTAGATTTAGATTTATGGATATTAATATTCACATAAACTTAAAACCTTTACGTGTTTAGGTGTACATGATGTAACCCTTACAAATGCATTTTGGATTTTTATTTATAAACTATGTAAATGTTTGCATTCCCCTGTTTATTTACCCTTTTTGTCGTTTTATTTTCAATATTATATATGAGGTTCTCCGGGTTTTTAGTTTCTGATTTATTTCCCAAATCGTCTAAAGATATGTCAGTAGATAAACAAAGTATATTTCTATAGATCTGAGAGTCACAGAGGTTATACTCCGTCAAATAATAAAGGATAAATATATATGATCGTAAAAACGAATATATTAAATTGAGAATGGAAATGGGGAATATGTCAAAGAGACAACAACCCGACCAAAGAGCAGAAAACAGCAGAAGGCCACCAATGGGTCTTTAACACAGTGAGAAAATCCCACACCCGAAGGCGGGCTTCAGCTGGCCCCTAAATAAAAATGTGTACTAGTTCAGTGAAAATGGACGTCATACTAAACTCCAAAACATATAAATGAACTAAAATAAAAAAACCCATACAAGACTAATAAAGGCCAGAGGCTCCTGACTTGGGACAGTCGCAAAAATGCGGCGGGGTTAAACATGTTTTGTGAGAATCTCAACCCTCCCCCTATACCTCTAGCCAATGTTGAATAAACAAACACACAGCAATACGCACAGTAAAACTCAGTTTGAAAGAAGTTCGAGTCCGATGTCAGAATAGGTAACAAAAGAAACTAAGCAAAATGACAAGGATACATAAATCACCAAAGGACTACTAGCAGTTACTGACATGCCAGCTCCAGACCTCAAATAAACTGATTGAAAGATTACGTCTTCATCATATGTTCATAAAAACAAAATATATATTCAGAAAATCAAAATAATTGTTCATAAAAAGAAAAAATATGTTCATAACAATAAACAATTGTTCATAAAAGTTAAAAGTATATTCATAAAAAGTTAAATCTATATTCATGATAAGTTCAATATATATATATATATATATTTATTGAGAAACTACCCCTTTACATCGGGGGCAAACACCAACAGGGTATTAGTGTTTGCGTCATACAAACTATAAGTATTATAAATACAGTGTACATAAATAAAAACATCACTATCATTAAAAATGTCAATATATTCGTAAAACAATTTCTTTTAAAACCCAACATTTGGTAATAAAAATTATAAAAAACTGAATCTATTTTAAAAGAGTAAAATCCATTTTATTCCTTTCTATAATCTTTTTCAATGTTTACCATAAATTGAATGCAGATTTCATAAAGAAACACACATATTTTACAATATTCCATGTTTTTATTCTTATAATTGATAAAATTTACATTTAATGTTCGGGAAATTTCCCAAAATATATGAAAGTTTTTAAAAATTTGTGGTAAAGATGTATGTGACAACTTTTCGGGAAATGTCCCAAAATCATTATCAACATTATTATTTATAACATATATGTTGGCAAAGAATGTTGACAAACAGATCTGAAACACATTTCGGGAAAAATCCCGACAAAAATAAACTAAGTGAAAAATGTATAACACAGATGTCTTCGGATATTTTGGGATTTATCCCGAAAACAGAACGTATATGCTAGAACTCATGACTAATAATTTCTTTTCACATTTCGGGAAAAATCCCGAAAATATAAATCTATTATCAGGCACACACTTGTTACATAGATTTTTTTTACCCATTTCGGGAAAAATCCCGAAATAAAATCTGCAAGCAAATTTTTAAAATTATATGCTACAGATTTCTTAAACATATTGGGAAAAATCCCGAAAAAACTAAATCTATAAGATATTACAACACAGAATTTTGATACATTTAGAAAGTTTTTATGTAAATTTGTTTCCAACATTTGTTAAAATTTTGATTCATAAAAAATATGTTTCTAACTGAAAAAAATATGTATTTTGTTTATAACCATACTTTTCATTACAGGTCCGAAAAAAGTATTTTCTAAGAAATATTAAGGTTGCTCTCTACTGCATCTCTTTTGTCATGCTTTAGTAATTTCCCAAATATAATATCAACCAAATTTGTCCCACAAAAAGGGGGCTTAGGCCTCCTCTAAATCCTCCTCTTATAAGTGGTCGATTTTAAACAGGCCTAAGCATAAACTTTCCATATAAACTGCAAAAGATTCTAAGTTATAAAACCATGATTTAGGGTTCAGGATAAAAAAATCCCCAAGCACATGTATTGTCCAAAAGCTTATTCAACTGCATATAAAATATCCCTGACCTACTTTTAGTGGTTCTCCTTAAACTGAACTTCTTACAAATCTTACAGTGTAAACTAAGGAAATTTTCAAAGTCAATATTCCATTGCTGAGAGGCTGGTGAGGAGGGCGGTGCTCTATGGGATTGAGATGTGTTTCCATAACACATTATGCCCTGCTTCCACAATCAGATTTCCATATTCAGTAACTTATTTGTAATTACTTAAAAAATCGATGACTTCATAATGAACACTTGAATGTACAAAGTTTCAAGTTTATTTGACCATAACATCATAGTAAACTATTGTACACAAAACCTTAACCTACTGTACTGTTTGTACATCTTGAAAACAAAATGATTGATAAAAACTAGTTTTAACTCATTACTTCAAATGCCAATGAAATTTTAAAATAGGAATAAAAAGAAAAAACTCAAACTCAAAAATATTCAATAATGTAGCCTCATTTCATTTTCCTAATTTGCACAATTTTGTTTTTGTCACAGAAAACATGGAAGAAACTTTATCTTTAATTATATTTTTCTAAATTTCTTTGATGTTCTCCACAACAAAATATAACAAGAGTGCACACGCTGAAATGTCTTGCCTTCTTTACTAATTATTGATGTTATGTTGATAGTCCTAAATATAAAGCTTTACTACCACTATCACATAAACTTAACATTAACCAAGAAAATGAGGTCAAGGTCATATAAACCAAACAAGAAATACATGTACACCTTACAATCATTCAATACACTAAATATAGTTGACCTATTGCTTTTGTTTCTAAGAAATAGACTTAACCAAGAAAACTAAACATTGACCAATGAACCATGAAAACGAGGTCAAGGTCAGATGCACCATGCCAGGCAGACATATACAGCTTACAATTCTTCCATACAACAAATATAGTTGACCTATTGCTTATAGTTTAAGAAAAACAGACCAAAACACAAAAACCTAACACTGAGCAATGAACTGTGAAAATGAGGTCAAGGTCAAATAAAACTTGCGAGACTGACATGTACATCATAAAATATTTCCATACACCAAATATAGTTGACCTTTATTGCATATAGTATTAGAAAAAAAGACCACAACTCAAAAACTTAACTTTGACCCCAGAACCATGAAAATGAAGTCAAGGTCAGATGACACCTGCCAGCTAGACATGTACACCTTACAATCATTCCATACACCAAATATAGTAGACTTATTGCAAACAGTATAAGGAAAACAGACCAAAACAAAAACTTAACTTACCACTGAACCATGAAAATGAGGTCAAGGCCAGATGACACCTGCCAGTTGGTCATGTACACCTTACAGTCCTTCTGTACACCAAATATACAAGACCTATTGCTTATAGTATCTGTGATATGGACTTGACCACCAAACCTTAACCTTGTTCACTGATCCAAGAAATGAGGTCGAGGTCAAGTGAAAACTGTCTGACAGTCATGAGGACCTTGCAAGGTACGCACATACCAAATATATTTAACCTATTACTCTTAATAAGAGAGAAATTAACATTACAAAAAATCTTAACTTTTTTTTCAAGTAGTCACTGAACCATGAAAATGAGGTCAAGGTCAATGGAAATGTGACACACGGAAACATCGTAACATGAGGCATCTGTATACAAAGTATGAAGCATCCAGGTCTTCCACCTTCTAAAATATAAAGCTTTTAAGAAGTTAGCTAACGATGCCACCGCCACCGCCGGATCACTATCCCTATGTCGAGCTTTCTGCGACAAAATCGCAGGCTCGACGAAAAAGAAAAATACTGTTCTAAAATAAAATACATGTTCTATATAATATTACAAATACATACAATAAAATATAACTACAAATCATAGTAACATGTGAATAAATCTTCATAACATGTGCAATGCTTGTTATATTCAGATGGAATTATTACATGTTAATTTAAATTGATCTGTTTCTTTACTGATGACTTTTTCTCTTCCTTTCACTCCTGCCTATAAGAGAAAAGTAAAATAACATTTAGTAAAATATAACAAAAACGTGCTATTCCGCTGAACATGCTAAATGTAAATATTAATGGTGAAATCAACAATTTTGATCATGTTGATAGGTTGAGACTATCACATTTGACATTTATAACAAAACTTCTTTTCCCCCTCTGACCATTTTGATTACCTTGTGTGACTTTTCACACAATCAACATGATCATAATGTACATAACTTTTCTGACATTTTTTATCAATAAAGATAGTATAGCCAATAATAGTTTTCAAAATTATTTAGTGTAGAGTTGAGTTCTTTTCCCTTTCTCCAATTGAATGTTCCTGGCAACCTGCATTCTTTTATGTTACTTTTTTTCATTTAACAAATACTGATCAAGATTTAAAAGGGGAGCAGAATTGAGTTTTCATGTGGCTTTCCAAAGTCAAGACCGTTCCTGTTACCTAAAGTTGTATCTTAAGTTTTGTGGTTATAAGCATTGTGTATAAGTTTCAGAACATTTGGTTAAGCAAACTTAAGTTTATAGTGAACTAAAATGAATAAACAGCTGTGCCATGAGCACATGATACCTCCGTCGCTTTTTCAAAGAATAAGGTCTTCAACACAGCGAGAAAATCACGCACTATAAGTGTTTCTTGTTTCTCTTTTTTTATATAGATTAGACCGTTTGTTTTCCTATTTGACAGCTATTTTCACACTAATCATTTTTGGGGTCCTTAAATTAATAATAGCTTACTGTTCGGTGTGATCCAAGGCTCTGTGTTGAAGACTGTACTTTGACCTATAATGGTTTTTCTTTTACAAATTGTGACTTGGATGGAGAGTAGTCTCATTGGAACTCATACCACATCTTCTTATATCTATGTACAAACATACAAGGATAAAACTTAATGCCCTCCTCCGCTACGACGGGGCATAACAAAATGCATATACATATAAAGCAGCAGGACTCTTATTAAGACTGAATATGACAGTACCTTATTCTTTATTCTTTCATCTTATCCCCTGCATGATTCCTGACATGAATTTTGGTTCTTTATTTCTTTTACGTCCAGGCAATTTTGGTATGAAAGCACCATATTTCAAGCTAAGTGTACCCATGATTTGTCCTCGGTGTATTTTGATAAAAATAATAAATGTTGACTGCATCTTTTGGTGTCTCTCTTGTAAAACAATAATGCAAAGTCTATGTGTGTTGTTTAAAATTACAAATCATAGGAATTAACCAGTAACATATATTGTATTGTAATTTCACTTCTGAAACAATCCTGACCGGTGACTGTACAGTTTCAGCATCCTTTCCTTTGTTCTTAATTTTTCTGATATTTAGCTGAAAGCAGGATCAATATATTCATGTGTGTGGCAAACCAGTACTAACGACCAGAGAACCTGAAAAAAAATTATCTGTTGAGTTCTCGACTAGTATCATTTATTTATCCATTAAAGAGATAGAGCTTTGTTAGAATTTTGAAAGGTGGAAGCAGTATAATTACTTTAATACACTAAAATATGTAATAAATAAAACAAGAATGTGTCCATGGGACACGGATGTCCCTGCTTGTAAATATATCTCTAATTTATCCTTTTTTTCTATTAATAAAGTAACATAATATGAGAATGATGAAAGTGACTTGATCATTAATAAGCATTGGAACAAGGAATTATTTGAATCTGGAATTATTTTGAATTCTGGAAAATTGAAACGAAATTTATGATGAAAACTAACCAAACTAAATAGGGTTAGCCATGCGCGCATGGCTAAGGGGGGTTAGTTAGTTCATACTGAAAGAACAGTGAAAGTAAAATTACCCTTGCATGGCTATCCCTATTTAGTTGGGTATGTTTTCATCATACATTTCTTATCAATTTTCCAGAATTCAAAATTATTCCAGATTCAGATAATTCCTTGTTTTGTGTATAAGTTTCATAACACTTGGTTGAGGCAATGAAAAGCTAAAGTGCAATTAGGGATTTGAACTAGTTTTCAATTACTTCAAGTTCCCTGATATTGATTCATGTTTTTTTTTATTGCAGTACGTACAGTAATAATCTGATGGTTTAAGAGAGCACAATACCACGACAACAACATGTTTATCAAAATATCATTTTCATTTTGTTCTTTCTTAATATTCATCAGACACATTTTCTTAACTAGATACCCCAATGATGATTGACTGTGGCCAAGTTTGGTTAAATTTGGCCCAGTAGTTTCAGAGGAGAAGATTTTTGTAAAAGTTAATGGTCGACGACGGCCCTTTGGGCCAGGTGAGCTAAACAAGAGGCTCTAAAGAGCCTGTGTCGCTCACCTTGGTTTATGTGCATATCAAACAAAGGACACTCTCTAACATTGTAGACGAGAATATACTTCATGACAAAAATCTCTATTTTGTTGATCTTTTATTACAGGTCTTTTATAATTAGTCTGTTTAGTTTCTCTCTTTCTTCTTTAGTTCTTGCTCAAAACACAAAAGAGGGTAAACAAAAATCCTCACTGAAGGGCAATCACTCCTATTAAGCATGTTAAGAGTGACAGTCTACTAACTATATCGGCAGAATTTAACTTTTAATAGATCTTGCCATGCCTTTTCTTACATTACTCAAGATCTGTTAAAGTGACGCTATCCAAATTTGTACTTGATCTGCGTTTTGTGGTAATATGCATTGTGCATAAGTTTCATAACATTTGGTTGAGGCAAACTAAAGTGAGAAAGAAAATGAAAAATTCAGCAATATTTCCATTTGTAGAGGGGGATAACTCTAGAACGGTAAAAGTGACGCTACCCAAATTCACACTTGATCTGAGTTTTGTGGTAATAAGCATTGTGTATAGGTTTCATAACATTTGGTTGAGGCAAACTAAAGTGAGAAAGGAAATGAAAAATTCAGCAATATTTCCATTTGTAGAGGGGGATAACTCTAGAACGGTAAAAGTGACGCTACCCAAATTCAAACTTGATCTGAGTTTTGTGGTAATAAGCATTGTGTATAGGTTTCATAACATTTGGTTGAGGCAAACTAAAGTGAGAAAGGAAATGAAAAATTCAGCAATATTTCCATTTGTAGAGGGGATAACTCTAGAACGGTAAAAGTGACACTACCCAAATTTATACTTGGTCTGTGTTTTAAGGTAATAAGCATTGTGTATAAGTTTCATAACATTTGGTATAGGCAAACTAAAGTTAGAGAACGGAAACCAATTATCGGACCTACTGGACAGACGGACAAGGGTAAAACTTAATGCCCCCTCCGCTACGGCGAGGCATAAAAAATGTTTCTAAATTTCATAGTTTTCCTGATAATAGGCATAAATAAAACAAGAGGCTCTCAAGAGCCTGAATCGCTCACTTGTATTTCAGAGGAGAAGATTTTCAAATGTTAGCAAACTTGATGAACAAATTGTGTAAAATTGTCTTTAAAGGGCAATAACTCCTTAAGGGGTCAATTGACAATTTTGGTCATATTAACTTTTTTGTAGATCTTATACTTTGCTGAACATTATTGCTGCTTACAGTTTATATATATATCTATAATAATATTCAAAATAATAACAAAACAACTGCAAAATTTTGTTAAAACTACCAATTCGGTGGCAGCAACCCAACAATGGGTTGTTCGATTTGTCTGATAATTTCAGGGCCGATAGATCTTGACCAATTAAACAATTTTACCCCATGTCACATTTGCTCTAAAAGATTAAGTTTTTGAGATATAAGCCAAAAACTGCATTTGACCCTTATGTTCTATTTTTAGCCATGGCGGCCATGTTTGTCAATGGATACAAGCTTCGGATATAATTTATAAACAAGATACCCTAAGGAACATTTAGGTAAAGTTTGAAGGTAATTGGCCCAGTAGTTTCAGAGGAGAAGATTTTTAAATGTTAGCAAACTTGATGAACAAATTGTGTAAAATTGTCTTTAAAGGGCAATAACTCCTTAAGGGGTCAATTGACAATTATGGTCATATTAACTTTTTTGTAGATCTTACTTTGCTGAACATTATTGCTGCTTACAGTTTATATATATCTATAATAATATTCAAAATAATAACAAAAAAACTGCAAAATTTTGTTAAAACTACAAATTCAGTGGCAGCAACCCAACAATGGGTTGTTCGATTCGTCTGATAATTTCAGGGCCGATAGATCTTGACCAATTAAACAATTTTACCCCATGTCACATTTGCTCTAAAAGATTTAGTTTTTGAGATATAAGCCAAAAACTGCATTTGACCCTTATGTTCTATTTTTAGCCATGGCGGCCATGTTTGTCAATGGATACAAACTTCGGATACAATTTATAAACAAGATACCCTAAGGAACATTTAGTTAAAGTTTGAAGGCATTTAGCCCAGTAGTTTCAGAGGAGAAGATTTTTGAAATAGTTTACAACGACAGACGACGACGACAGACGACGGACGCCAAGTGATGGCATAAGCTCACATGGGGACCTTCGGGCCCAGGTGAGCTAAAAAAGATGTACAACAATTTATAAACTAAATACCCTAAGGAACATTTATTTAAAGTTTGAAGGTATTTGGCCCAGTAGTTTCAGAGGAGAAGGTTTTTGAAATAGTTTACGACGATAGACGACGACAGACGACGGACGCCAAGTGATGGCATAAGCTCACATGGGGCCCTTTGGGCCGCGGTGAGCTAAGAAAGATGTTCAACAGGTGTTTAGAAATAAAGAAGATAATGCACTCCAAAGAAATTTTTTTATTTATATTAGAGCTGCCATGAGAAAAAACATATGATAGATTTTATAGCAATATGGAAATTAAATATTAATGTACAATGTAATGTATGTGCCTGTTCCAAGTCATGAGCCTGTAATTCAGTGGTTGTCGTTTGTTGATGTGTTACATATTTGTTTTACGTTCATTTTTTGTACATGTACATAAATTAGGCCGTAATTTTTTCTTGTTTTCTTGTTTTACATTTGTCATTTCGGGGCTTTTTATAGCTATGTGGTATGGGCTTTGCTCATTCTTGAAGGCCGTACGGTGACCTATAGTTGTTAATTTCTGTGTCATTTGGTCTCTTGTGGAGAGTTGTCTCATTGGTAATCATACCACATCATTTATAAGCATACATCAAGTAAAGTTAAGTACAACATTTAAAAGTGTTGATGTTAATAACATTTCTGATATATCCAATTTTCTTGAGGAGAATATCTAAAATATATGAATTTATGAGGGCTTGGAACCCCGCTAACATGTTTAACCCTGCCACATTCTGTGCCTGTCCCAAGTTAGGAACCTGGACAATCAGTGGTTGTCGTTTGTTGCTGTGTTACATATTTGTTTTTCGTTAATTTTTTTGTATTTTTATAAGGCCTTTAGTATTGAATTGTTTTACATTTGTAATTTTGGGGCCTTTTTTATATGACTATGCAGTATGAGCTTTGCTCATTGTTGAAGGCTGTACTGTGACCTATAGCTGACTGACAGACGGAGGGACAGGGGTAAAACAATATGCCCGCCAACTTTTAGTTGCGGGGACATACAGAGTTATACACTTTGTTTAAAATACTATTGAAAAGTTCATAATTTAAATTATTCATGTTTACAGAAGTCTTTTGTTAATGTTTATATTTGTATTGTGTTGTGTTGTTTTGTTTCTGTATAACATATAAGTCTAAGTTTTTGACCACCAAAATTTGCAAAGAACAATTTCAGTATTTCCCTCAAGGACCACCAGGAGAAAAAAGATTTCAAGAACTCTGTAATGGAGAGAAAGAATGGATAGGGTTTAAAGAATAGAGAATATTGGACAAACATGTGCAGAATAAAGGGGCAAACAAATAAAGAATAGAGATTATTGGACAAACATGTGCAGAATAAAGGGGCAAACAAATAAAGAATAGAGAATATTGGAAAAATAATACAGAATATTGAATAATAGGGCACAAAAATACAGTAAATTATTAAGACATGATAGAGATAATATAAATGGGCAAAATAAATAATGAATAGAGAGAAAAATGGTCTAATATTTAAAGAATAAAGACAATAAGGACCCCCTCATCCAAACCCTCATTTAGCAGAACAGTAAAAATGATAATTATCTACTTTCATGTGGACATTTTCAAACAATTTCATACATTCCCATATCTTTAACTATTTGATCATTACTTACATCTGTCCATTATTATGTTGTCTTTTAGATCACATTGCATTTGAAGCTGATGTTCAATACTTGCACAGTTGTACACCTAGAAAAAAAATCTGCAAAAATAAGATAAAACAGTCTTGTGTAACTGTCATATACTAGTTTAGATACAGAATCGTGTGACTTTCTAACAGAAAATTTACATCACATCAATGAGAAATTGCAAAAAGTAAATAAAATTATTCATTTGTCGCTTTCGTTGTTGAGGTTACATGAGTGCATTAGCTGCCTTATTTTTACATGTTCACAAATCAGTATTCGGGAGAGCAGTAAATATATAGAGGCTCTGCACCCTCCCCCTGAAATTTTGTGCTCTGAAGGGAACCAGGTGCTTTTTCTAAGTAAGGAAAGAGTTTAAAAATTATCCATCATGTCCTCACATCTAATTATTAAAAGATGAATTAATTGATCATTGAAATGTGTATCAGAGTCAGAACTTCTCAATGTTCATTTTTTGGGGGAATATTTATTACCCTAATTTAATGTTTTTATTGTCTTTAATTAAGTGACTGACACAGTACTGAGGATAACATTTTCATATCTCTTCATTTATATCTACAAATTCTAATGATGTTTCACATCCTGGGGGATATAAACCCATGAAATTGAAACTTTTCACACATAATTGACTAATAGTAGTAATTGGGAATGTAAACATGTAATAATTTTTTTCCCAGTAGGCAGTTTAACCAAAATTAAGATACAGACAAGACATAATAAATCTATTATACTATATACACAGCATGCACAGGACATGTGCTCCTATCATAATGATGAACTGAGTCTATATATACTGTCCCTTTAACAAATAATGCAAAGTTAAAAATTTTTGTTATTTAGATTCTGTGAATTTTTTTAATTTTAAACATTCTTAGTTTGTTTGAAATAGATATACGTTGTATACTTAATCATCTGTAGAATTTTTTTATTAATGAAAAAAAAAGAATTAGCTTAACTGATTAATCTATAAAGATTATAGTCGATCCAGGTAATTTCGTACAGGCAGTTGGTCCGAGAACACAGTTTTTTTGTAGTGCATTTCTTTTAGACAATAAGTGGAAATAAAAAAAATCCAAACTGAGCTTTCTCAATAATATTTTTACAGTGTGTTGTACTACTTAACTTTTGGGACAAATTATAAAGAAATTATAGAAAAACTTCATCAGCTCTAACTCAAAATATGGACAATTTTATGTTAAGGGGGTCTTGAAATCTTGACAGCTTCCAAAATTAATGCTAATTTTTAACCTTTTTCAGCTGGAACAAATCACTATTTTACTTTAAAATTCATAATTCAAATTTTTTAACAGTGTAATTTTATCCCCCAACTTGCTATTTGAGACATAAAACATGAAGAAATAAATTTGGAAGGGGGATAAAAAAAAATTGGCAAGTAACACCCTGTCCACACTAGTTAGGGACTATATTCGTGGACAATGAAAATCAAAGGACGATAACTGTGTGTCCAGACCAGGTAATTACTGTACATTTTGCTTGTTTATTAAACAGGGAACCAAATGACTTTCATTTAGGACCAAAAGTGTACGGAATTACCCTGACTGACTCTAATGTAAGATCAACCTCCTCTCCAAGGTAAGATATGTACATGCATTCATAAACTGGGGCTCGAGTAGGAGATACACCCTTATGTCACAAGGCTTTTACCCTAATGATCGAAGCGTGTCTAGAAATTGCTTCAGATTACTTTTAAGCAAATAGAACAGTTTTGAACATTTAAAAGATCCCAAGTACATGTAAATATTAATGACTCACATTTTAGATGACCAACAATGTATTAAGAAATTTTCAAAGAACATATATATCGGATTTAATATTGTCTGCCATGAAATTATGTCCACCAGACACTATTTCACAGTAAATTGTGTCCACGGACTTAATGTTATTATGAAATATTGTCCAAACAATGTTTGCCTATAGTATACAATTGTGTCCAGATGTGAAAAAAATTGTCCTTCAATGAAGGGACAATATTTCATATGAAAAAAGTGTCCTTCATAGAAAGGACAGTATGTCAAGAGAAAAAGTGCCCACTATCAATACCTACTATGTTTACATAGCTTCAATTCTTTATCTAAATTAAAGTTTAAAAATTAGAATATAGGTTTTGTCTCTATTAAAACATGGCATGTAAACTGGAGTAGTGAATTCATACTAAATGTGACCATCACCATGTGTAGTTAAACATGAATTATACAATAAAACATGTACTAATACACACAAAAACAGAAATATATTAAAATATTACTTAAAAATATGAACAATGTTAATAAAAATACATGTATTTTATTTCAATTTACATAAACTGTTATCACAGAGATATGTCTTGCCTTTTTGTAATTTTGATAAAGCAATATTGTCGAAATTAAAATAGCAATACTTTAACATGTAAGTTATGTAAAATATTCAAAGTCAATGAACCATGACTGAAGGTACATGGCTGAACAATCTCCATGGAAATGAGATGTGCTAATGTTAAATTATACAAAAGCTTCTTTTTATGCATACCAAATATAATTGACTTACCTAAGTCATTCCCTTAAAAAAAACCTAAACACAAACATTAACGGTAAACTATGTAAAAGTTTCAAAGTCAATGAACCATGATGAGGGGGTGGGGCTTTATAATCTCCATGGAAACAAGACTTGCAAATTTATGCCAATAAATTTGCATACCGAATATCATTGACTTAACATTAGCAGTTCATCTTAAACTGATCTAATCAGTATCACAAACTAATACATTTAAATTAAGCAAATGTTTCAAAGTCAATAGACCATGACTGAGGGGAAGGGGCCAAATAATCTCCATGGAAATGAGATATGCCATTATGCTAATACAACTGCATACCAAATATCATTGACCTACAAATGTACCACTAGTGGTTCCCCATAAACTGACTCAGACCTAATCACAAACTAATACATGTATAAAACTAAGCAAAATTTTCAAGGTCAATAGACCATGACTCAGGAGGCAGGGCCAAATAATCTCTATGGAAATGAGATATGCCAATGCTTATACAACTGCATACCAAATATCATTGACCTACCACTTGTGTTTCACCATAAACTAGACCTAATCTCAAACTAATACATTGTTGACGCCGCTGCCGCCGTCGGCAAACCTATAATGTCTCGCTTTTTTACTCTGTCAAGGCGAGCTAAAAATCATGTAATTTTCAAGAATTTTCTCATAAATACTGTTCTTTCTTCATTTGGTATTCTTGTACTTTATATAGGGGTTGTGACAGTTGATGCTGGTGGATACTTTTTGTTGACATCTTTATAGCTAAGATAATTGAATATGCTTTGGAATTTAACACCTTCCATTTGGTGTTTTTATCAAATTATAACAGGTTCTTGATTGGTTTGTTTTAGTAATAGAACATTTAATATAGCCAAAATACGTGAGTGACTTTTTTATGATCTCCCTTTAAAGGACACCTTTTACTGTGAAAAGGTCCTCTTATTGAAAATCAACCTTGCAGGACAGAATTTAATAGTACTTTATCATGAAATAATGAATTGAAGGACACTTTTTCAAAGCATCGGACAAATTAAAATATTTACATTTTCTGTGAAAAAGTGTCAAGGTGGTTGATAGTAAAAAAAGGTATTGTTACTTACACATGTAAATGACTAGTAATGGATTGTTGAGACTTGTTATATGTCAATACATTTTAGAAAATTGTAATTATGGAGAATAATAAAGACTTTTTTACAGTGGGCCCCAAATCCCCAAATACCTGTGTCAGATGTAGGTGAATAGAAAATAGGGATTGTATGCAAGTAAAGCCTAGATTTTTGTAAAAAAAAAAAAAAACAAAGACTTTTATCTGTTATAGTTTGATCTATTACAGATTTTCATTGTAAAATTTAACTCACTTACAAGTATTATGTCCATGCCAGCATTTATTGTTTACAAAGAGTCCTACACAACCTTAAATCAAATACAATCCAAAGTCAAACACACCCAAAGCCAAAGGCAAAGGTGTACTTGAATAGGTCTATATTTGGTAGTCTTGATTTAATGAATAACTTTATTTCTGAATTTTAAATTGGTATTATTAAACTGTGTAAGAGAAATTATTGCTCTATCTAATAAGCATTGACCAGTTGACATTATTGTGGTCAAGCAGATACCAAAAAATATTCGGAATCCAGATTTTCCCCATACTTGTCACTGTCAGGTAACCAGAGGATTTCCAAACCGAAGTGGTTCGTCTAAAAAAGGTGGAATTTTAATACAGAATAGGTGACGGGTAACAGTTCTGTGGATGGAACAAACATCCTCACCTTCAAACTGGTAAAGTTCAACTTCTACAAGAGTCCTGAGTTGCAGTGCGATAGAAGAACGTCTGTTATCCAAATGCAATCAGGGAACCAGTTCATGTAAGACAAACTTGTTGTGACCTTGAACTTGAAGATGCAGAGATGCTGAATGAAAACTTGTCAGTACGACAGTAGCCTGTTGTTGAAATGATTTCAATTTATATATATGGTAAACATTTAGTTAAAACAAGTGTGAGAGCAATTTACGTTTAAAGGGGGACTGGATTTTTTGTTTTGAATCTTTGTTTCTTTTCTTTTTTTTTTTTTTGGGGGGGGGGGGGGGGAGGGGGGAGGTGAAAGGTATAGATAACTAAGGGACCTACCATTTGGTTTTCATGGGGGGCTAGGATGAACAATTTTGTCCTTCATTCTATTAGTTGTTATGTATTTTTCACTCTATTCGGTCCTGCCTTTTTTGTTTTGAAATTGAGAATGGAAATGGAGAATGTGTCAAAAAGACAGCAACCCTACCAAAGAGCAGAAACCAGCAGAAGGCCACCAATGGGTCTTCAACATAGCGAGAAAATCCCGCACCAGGAGGCTTGCTTCAGCTAGCCCCAAAACAATAATGTGTACTAGTTCATTAGTTTATCCTGACTTTTTTTTACATACATGTAAATAGTCATCCTGCCTTTTTTCGGCAAAGTGTCTCATCCCACCTTTTGATTACTCAAAACTCCTGTCCTGTTTTTTTTTCGAATTTCATCCTGATTTTTTTATATTATAGTCTAGTTGCATAATCAATAATATTTATTGTTCGAACAGAGTATGTATAAGTTTATTGAAAAATTCGCCCAATATTTGTAAAATGTATTTGCTGCAAACAAATATAAATTATTTTTTATTTGCATAGTAGAATACTGGAATACATTGTACTTACATGACTTATCTTATTGATATTTGTTAACAATTTTATTAATTCTAATCAGTCAATTTGATAACAATATGAATTTATATCTTTTTCAAGTTTTAAAATTGGTACATCATTTTTTGTTACTCATTCCAAGCTGACTATATAGCTAGTTTATCAAAAAAAAATGTTATTTTTATTATAAATCCATTACAACAATCAGTGAGAATTATCATTTTTAACAATTAATGCTCTAAAACAAATTTTAAGCCAACAACTTTTAAATATTTCCATGTGTTTTCATAAATTTCCAGAATTTATACCATATGAATAAGTTTATTAAAATTTAATACCCATTAAACAATATGTTTTAATAAAAGTACTAGGGAGAACGGACCTAGGGCGAACAGACTCTGTGGGTGAATGAACTCTGGGTTAACAGACCTAGGGGAAACATGTAATCAGGGCAGAGGGATTTTGTTAATGCGATTAAATATTCTTACATGTACAGGCTATACATCAAAGAATATAATGTTATAAAACCTCTTTATCCAAATCTTCATATTGTATATATGTTCCAGACCATATGAGTATTTGGACCGTACACATATACTCGTGCAGTCGGACCATATGTGTACGGTCAGACCATTTGAGTATACTCATACAGTCTAGGACTAACTAGCCCCTATATGTATTTGTACCATATAGGGGTTAATTTTAGACAAACATTTATCAAAATTTTTATTGAATATATACATACAAATTATTATAATTACAATTAGATGAATAAAGTGAAATATATCATCATATCATCAACCCTAATAATCTGGAAACAACTGGTATTATTATAGAGTAACAAAGCTACCTTATTCCTTCCCCCCAAACGTGTCCGATTCCCCCAAACGTGTCCACTCAGAAACGTGTCCTTCCCCCCAAACGTGTCTGATTCCCCCAAACGTGTCCACATGACGTCACTGAACTGCAAAACATATCTAAATGTAAAAGGGCGCCAATTAAAGCGTGTCATTTTTATTAACGCCCAATCATGTCCATTTATATAATAACACCCAAACGTGTCCATCTCACAAACGTGTCCATATGAAGCCTAACTTTTTCCTTCTTTCTCTAAAAGCTCAATCGTGTCCATATCATAAAAATGTCCAAACGTGTCCCCGTTATTTGCATGGTTATTGCTCTTTCATATACTCCTTTTACTATTTCATTGCAAATTGAAATATAGTCCTTTAGGTCTTTATCAAACAAACAGAATAACCCGTGCCAAAATGGGGCCTCCGTTTGGTTGGGCGGGGTGTAAAAGTACGCAGCAATGTCTACAGGTAACAATGTGGATATTGAATCAGATACCTCCTGTATAGGGAGAATACCCGCTATCTGTACATTAAAATCCTTGTAACAACTCTTTCAGGGTGCCGTCGATAGTATGCATCAAGGCAACCATTTTTGTGCCTATACATATTATCTAGTGGCAGTTGGAATTTCCCCAACTTTAATTTTAAACGGCCTCTATTATATAAAGGGGAATAAAAGATTGTTATACTGAAGCCCCGTAAACATAAAGTGGTCTTTCTCTGCTCCCAAAAATTATTATCTAATTCTGAGTCCCGATTAGTGTAAATTCCTAATAACCGTACAAATTTAGGCCCAATCCCAAATTCCCGTCATAAAAATGTTACTATCCTAAAGTCCCGGGAAATAGTCCTCCGTCTCTCATTAAAGAACTTACCAATAATATTTATTGTTAATATGTTGTCGTCCTAAAAATGCATGAAATATTTGCAACTGGAAGTAATGTCTCTTGTTTGTGTGTCTTTAAGTGATGTTCGAAACCCCAAATTTATAATATTAAACCTGAAAACAAGTTTATGATTTCAAGAGCTTTTAAAAAATCAGAACTGTTGAAAAAAATTGGAAAACACCGCTGCAGGAAGCCAGTCGTACATTATCCTCATACATGATTAATATAGTAAGACATCACTGCAGTTTATTAGAACAAAATAATTTATTGAGTAAACGATTAATTTAACTGTACTAAAGTAATGTTGATGTTCGCTCTAAATATGCATCAAATACTTGCCACTAGACATTAAGCAAGCAACAGTCAAGAATTATGTATATGTTGATAATCAATATTGCATACATATAAACAACTGGTGTTGAACAAACTAATGCTAATACATTTTGAATGTTCTTCTTTCAACTCTGTTCCTTTTTAATTTCTGGTAATTGTGCCCAAAATATATACTCCAGGAGTAATGTCTTTTGAATGCGGCTTTTATCTTATTTAGGATCCAACAAAAACCCGACATGTCCCCTATTATGGAATTGCCGTAAATGTTATAGACGTAACTGAGAATATAATAGCGCTTAAAGTTTTCAGACGTTCCGGCGTTTTAAAGTGGACACGTTTTAGCGAATAACAATTATCGGACACGTTTGGGGGTTTTGAAATCGGACACGTTTGGGCGATATCAACTTTTAAGGACACGTTTGGGGGAAATAGACACGTTTGGGGGAATCGGACACGTTTGGGGGGATGGACACGTTTGGGAGTGTTACATATATACATACAAATTATTATAATTACAATTAGATGAATAAAGTGAAATATATCATCATATCATCAACCCTAATAATCTGGAAACAACTGGTATTATTAGAGTAACAAAGCTACCTTATTCATTCTTTGCACTAGTTTTCGACGCGTTTTTATTATATTTTCTCATTGTTTTTTCAAGGGATTTTTTTTATAGTTTTTGTCCAGTATCTGTGACGGTTTTTGTAGAAAAGTTCCTAAATATACTAAAATATTTTCTTCCAACATTATGTTTATTCCAATAACTTTAATTTCAGTGAGCATAATTAAATCTCATGTATTAACTGACATGCTAAATATACAGGAGCTTAACAGAATAAAGCTGTGATTTATAATGATACTGTTCCACAACATTTTAGGGTCAGAGAAATTTAATGCTTGATTGGGAGCAATTATTTGTGGTCACTTAAACTGAAGAAATTTATTGCTTTTAATTGATTGACCATTTGTGCAGCTGGTAAGAACATAATCAGCTGATTTACTAAAATAACATGAGTAAGTGCCTTAGATTCCTCTTTTTCTTTTATTCTTTAGATTTCTTTATCAATTATTTACTATGATCAAAAAGTTAAATCTACTATTTTCTGCCTTTGTTATTTATGTGGTCAAACAATCAACTTACTTAGTCCATTGTACTCTTGAATTTATTTAAAATTGATATCCCTCAATCCATAGGACATACAAAAAAATGTAACATTAAGACATCTACCATGTCTACTGGGAATTGAAAGTAATAGAGAAACTATTTTGATATATGGCATAATACTAAGATCATATATATTATTATCAGAATTCATACATGTATTTCTATACACCCTCTTCAGAAAATGAAATTTTATCTAATGGTTCTATTAAATTCTAGTAGGTTAATTGGGTACAAGATATTTCTAGAGATATAGCACAGTATAGTGGCTCAAGGGTACACTGAGTGGAGGACAAACTTTTGAAATACTTAACTAGCAAACAAAACAAGTCTATAGTCTTTACAATGCTTTATACATGTAGTCAACAGTTTATACAAAATCAGCATCCTCTTTCATTTTCATTTTTTATTTTCAACATTTTAAATATGTTTTTGTTAATGCCTAAAAGTGCTGAAATAAAAAAAGTTTAAAAGGCCAATGCCAATTATTAGTATGAAGTAGAAACCTTTATGATATATATGTAAGTATTTATATTATTCATATGTAAGTGGCAATAAGTGAAATTAGGCATTAAGCTTAAATCCTTGTCAATAAGGTAATGCCCAGGTAGACTAAGTCTATCATCTAGAAATGATGTTAACAGTCATTATAAAAAATGTATTCTTAAATCCTGAAAAAATATGTCCAGGCTTTAAATGCAAGTAAATAAAAAGGCATTTATTCAAAGTTAAAATACATTTGGTACATAATCATGATAATAACATAACAAGAACTGCTGGACTTTAAAATGTAAACTAACTGAAATGATGCCACTATTCTAGCCAAGTTAGTCTAACCTTGGATATAATCAAAGCTGTATATTCACCATCCTTGTCACTTTGTAGTTTAGGGATGCATACCAAAAGTTGTGTAAAAATCAATTAAATCGAAAGTCACCATTGAAGCACATTTTGACGTGAGAACTCTAATGTTACAAACTTTTGTTAGTTTTTTTATTAGCTCACCTGGACCAAAGGGCCAACTGAGCTTTTCATGTCACTTGAGGTCCGTCGTCATCGTCC